TCTCCTCCATTCTCAGGGACATAAATATAGCCTACATTTTGTTAACTTTAATTTACGTCTCTAACTTGAATTCCCCCACCTAATCCTCAAAAACTGCTCAACATATCAACTTATATGCCTAATAGGGTCTATCATATACCTATACCCACCTCTCTCTCTCTCTCTCTCTCTCTCTCTCTCACACACACACACACACACACACACGCACACGCACACACACACACACACAAATGGTCAGGTTTAGTTTCTGACATTTCTTCTTGCTTTTTCTCTTAATGTGTTACAGTGTTTCTGTTTTTATAATCAATCTTTACTTAGCTAACACTAGCTATTGTCCATGGGCATGTTATTAACTGAAAGTGCTTATTCACATAGCCTTACCAATTTTAAGAAAACAAGGCAAATCTGGAGGAAAAAAGGTCATGTAATATTAATAGTCCATATTCTATTAAAAATTATTCTGCAACTAATAAGCAATTGTAAAAATGATGCTGTATTTACCCCCCAACATAATCTCATGTAATGACGTACTGTGAAATAGCGTATCTCATTTCCGAGCCTAATGAATTATTGTATATACTATTGGATCAAAATTCCGGGTATAAAAACCTTAGGTCTCATGTTTCTTGATATTTGTGTGTTTGAACTGAAAACCACACTACATAATCTCTATAATTTGTGCGTAATTATTTAGTTACAAATAATGCAATACAACCTGAGCTAGCAAAGAAAAACAGAGAGAAAAAGGGAGAGAATTTACAATAGGATACAGAATCAGAATTATCTCGGAGAGCCACTGGAAGGGATATAGCCTAGCCTCAAGAATGAACCTGAAGCAAGAACTAGGTACCAGGCAATTTTCTTTGAATTGACTCCTCTTTGCTTTATTCCACAAATCTGCTTCACTCTTCTCTTATGTCTTCTTCTGTTTTCCTGTGATTCATTGGTTTGTGAGGTAGAGCCTGACCTACAATGATTCTATCATTCTTTTCCTTTGCTTTCCATTTTTTTTTTTTTTTTTGAGATGGAGTCTTGCTCTGTTGCCCAGGCTACAGTGCAGTGGTGTGATCTCGGCTCACTGTAACCTCTGGGCCCTGGATTCAAGTAATTCTCAAAATCTAGCCTACCAAGTAGCTGGGACTACAGGTGGGTACTACCATGCTTGGCTAATTTTTGTATTTTTAGTGGTGGCTGGGTTCCCCCTGTTGGCCAGACTAGTCTCAAATTCTTGACCTCAAATGATCTGCCCACCTCGGCTGCTGGGATTACAGGCATGAGCCACTGTACCTGGCCCTGTAATAATTCTTGAACTTATATGTTACAATTCCCATCATCAGGCAGAGTAACTTTCTCTCATTCTCAATGTCTAATTTCTGGGAAAGACACTTGCTATTGACTCAATGTTTGCACCGCCATCCCCCCCCCAACCCCAGCAACAAATTTATGTTGAAACTATAATCATGAGCCGGGCGCGGTGGCTCAAGCCTGTAATCCCAGCACTTTGGGAGGCCGAGGTGGGTGGATCACGAGGTCAAGAGATCGAGAACATCCTGGTCAACATGGTGAAACCCCGTCTCTACTAAAAATACAAAAAATTAGCTGGGCATGGTGGTGCGTGCCTGTAATCCCAGCTACTCAGGAGGCTGAGGCAGGAGAATTGCCTGAACCCAGGAGGCGGAGGTTGCGGTGAGCCGAGATCGCGCCATTGCACTCCAGCCTGGGTAACATGAGTGAAACTCCGTCTCAAAAAAAAAAAAAAAAAAAAGAAACTATAATCATGCATGTGATGCAATTTGAAAACCAGAACTTTGGGGGGCAATTAAATCAGGAGGGTAGAGCGTTTATGATCGAATTAGTGCTTTGTAAGAAACAAAAGAGGTTGCTTCTTCTCTGTGCTCTCTGCCATGTGAGTACACAGCAAGGACCCAGCCATCTGCAAACCAGGAAGGGCGCCCTCACTGGGGACCGGGTCTTGCTGGCAACCAAATCTTGGACTTCCAACACCTAGAACGGTGACAAATACGTTTCTGTCATTTAAGCCACCCAGTCTAAGGTCACTTGTTATGGCAGCCTGAACTGACTAAGAGACTATCCAGTCTCATGGATCAAATGTTAACAAACAATTGAGATCCTGCTCTACTGGAGACTTCTTTGTCCTCCATTGTAGATTGAGGGAATGGGCAGTTGATAGAAATGATTGTAAAAAGTCCAGTGTGGTTTGATGGTACAGTTAAGAATTTAAATCTAAATACACTGTTTTCCCTTTTGGTTTGACACATATCAGACAAAAAGTCATGTCCTGGTCAAATGGTGCCTTAGATTTAGGGAAATAAATAAAAAGGAGGAAAAGAGATATCTCAATCCCTTCATCCTACTGTGATTAACTGAAAGAACTGCATTTGATAAACTCTACTTTGCTATCATTTAGGAGACTCTCCTTAAGTTGATTCTGTTCAACTTATCCAGATGCTATTTAACACACACCTCTGTAGAAGATGTCTTCGTTCCCACACTCCCTCCCACTTTTATACATTAGTCAAACCATTACCTCATTCCTGAAATGACCTCTCTCCCTCACTGCCTAAGTTTACCGACTCCTCAAAACCTCCTATTTAATTCATATTATACTTTTTAATACATGCTGTTCAGTGCGCAAAAGTTGTAATATTTAAAACATAGATTTTCATTTTAAGGAATTTATAGTATTCTAATGGATGAAACACTTTCAATACAAACTAATACATTATACAAACAATAATACAGCCTTAGACAAGTATACAATTAGTATTTTAATTGGTGAAGCACACTTTAAATATAAGCTAATGCATTATACAAGTAATGACATAGCCTACACATGTAATATACATATAAAATGTATGTCTATGTGATTATTAATAATATATTAAATGTATTAAGCAAACATAATATAGCCTCATATGTGTAAAAAGTAGAAGTGTCTGGAGGGAAGAAGTGCAATTCAGAGATGAATGATGAACAATTTTGTAGGATGGGAAATTAGGAGATGGGAAGGGGAAGTTCAGGAAGAATTCACATAACTGCAGTGATCCTCCCTTCTGATACTCTTATCTGCCCTATCACGAGTGATTTCTTATACACTGGACCCATCACTTTCTCCGTGTACTTTATTTTTCTAATGAGATTCTATATTCATGTGAAGAACAGACATGATTCACCTATTTTCTCCATTTGACACACTACACTGCAGAGTTCCTATCATTTTTTCTTGTTGGTTTTTTTCTTTTGGGACGGAGTCTCACTCTGCCACCAGGCTGGAGTGCACTGTCACAATCTCAGCTCACTGCAACCTTCACCCACTGGGTTCGAGTGAACCCACCCCCCATCCACTGCTACATTTGACTGGCTTAATAAAATAATAAAAAAAGATTCCCCTTTCTGTAAAATCCTCTCCACTTTTCCAGCCTAACCTACAATACCTCTTTAGTGCATTCTCAACACATACAGGTTTTATGTTTTGTTTTTTAATATAAATAGAAAGGGGTCTTGCTTTGTTGCTCAGGCTGGAATAGAACTCTTGGCCTCAAGTGATCCTCCCACCTTGGCCTCCCAAATTGCCAGGATTACAGGTGTGAGCCACAGCAACTGGCCCCAACATGCATGGTCCTAAAGACACCTCACACTTAACAACAAATACCGACAACGTGCTTCAAGTTTACTGGTCAGGTGTCTCCGACAAGTCAGACAAGAGGTACAGCCTGCAAATGAACCCCATTATAAATTCTCCCCATCTTCCTCGGGTTTCAATGGACATATACCCACTCCAATGACTCCATTTCTGCCTCCCCTGCAGGCAAGGCACCAGAATATTAAATAGAACTTGTGTGTACAGCTTCAAAGAAATTTCCTCAAACTAGGAGGGCATACCCTTTTCCCATTTCCTCCTACTGCTGGCTACAGTGAAGATGTGAATAAAGCAACAGTTCTGGAACTTAAGAAAGAAGCTGAGGCTGGAAGAACCTCGGGCCAAAGATCAAGGAATCATCAGACCAGCCCTGGACTGCTTTCCTGTGAAGCAAGGACAAGCAACGTTTTTCTTAACAAGCCTGATGGTAAATATTTTCACCTCTGCAGACTGACACAGTCTCTATCACAACTACTCAATTTTTACTGATAGCTTTTTTCCTCTTTAGACTTTTACAGGGCAATTTCCCTAGATAGTGATTAACGGAATAAAGGATAAGAATAACTTATATAGTTATACAGATAAATAAGTCTCCAAAACAATTACATGAATTAACACAGTTACCAAGAATAGATGTACTGCCACTACCCTAAAAAGAAAAGGTGTTATCATCTTTTGAAAATTCACTGACCAGGCGCAGTGGCTCAAGCCTGTAATCCCAGCACTTTGGGTGGCCAAGATGGGTGGATTACCCAAACGTCAAGAGTTAGAGACCAGCCTGGCAAACACAGTGAAACCCCAGCTCTACTAAAACTACAAAAGAAAATTTGTAACACAGGCCAGGCGCAGTGGCTCACGCCTGTAATCCCAGCACTTTGGGAGGCTAAGACGGGCAGATCACCTGAGGTTGGGAGTTCCAGACCAGCCTGACCAACCTGCAGAAACCCCATCTCTACTAAAAACAAAAACTTAGCCGGGCTTGGTGGCACATGCCTGTAATACCAGACACTCAGGACGCTGAGACAGAAGAATCACTTCAACCTGGGCGGCAGAGGTTGTGGTGAGCCGAGACTGCACCATTGCACTCCAGGCGGGGTGACAAGAGCAAAACTCTGCCTCAAAAAATAAAAAAAAATTCATAACTCAGTAAGTATGTGCTCCTTATTTGATCTGGCTTTGCTGTGATGCCTAGTAAACTGTACAGTGCCAGTCAATGACTAACCAGTGACTGAGAGATGGCTTAGAAAAGATTTAAGACTTCTTGAATTTTGTACCCATTTTAAAAACTTACAATGAAGCAGAAAGATCAAAAAAGCAACCAGCAAATTACTCAGCTTACCAGTTCACTGGCAAGAATTAGAACTCCTGAGAGACAATCTTCTACATCCAGATGAAATCCTTTCTCCCGATCTGGCTCAACTAAAAAACACATGAAAATAAACTCACGCTGTGAATGCAATTTAAGCCTCAGAATATAAAAATATACACATAACCTCTCACAAATTAAGTGAAGAAAGTATGAATCTTTTAAAAACTGACTTTCTAATATATTCACACCCTCAGCAACTAGACCACATTGTGGATTTTTTGAGCTCATAAGCAAAATTCAATTCAGTCTTCCCTCAAAAAGTAGTATTATCAAAACGGTGTCTAGTAGAGTCTTAGAATATACTTCTTGTTGGAAAGTGCATGATAAAGCATTTAAGAAAGGAGTTATATTTGCAACTACCTTTCAAATGGCTGTCAAAGGCACAAAATGAGAAAATTAAGCAGATGTAGTAAAATGTTAACCAGTGGCAAATCTAAGTGGCGTGTGAACAGGTATTTATTGTACTATTCTTTCCATTTTTCTGTAGGCTTGAAATTTTTAAAAATCCAGTAATAAAAACTGAAAGAAGCAAGTGCAAATGAGTTAGCCACTATTATTTTTAGCTTTTGTGTTTCCAAGTACACTTGGCCCTCTGCTGACCAACTGCGAGTGAAAATACTTGGGAAAAATAAATTAAAATGACAATACAACAATTCAAACTACAAATTTTTAAAATTAATACAGTATAACAACTATTTATACAGCACTTATACTGTATTAGACATTTAAGTAATTAGAGATGATTTAAACTATGTGGGAGGATGTGTATAGGTTACATGCAAATACTACACCATTTTATATAAGCGGCTTGAACATCCTCAGATTTTGGTATTGGGAGAGCTGTGGATCCAGTCATCTTCAGATAACAAGCTATAACTGTAAGTGGTTTTTAGTTAGTTCTTACTTGTTTTAATAAACAAAGTACAACCACCCTTTCCACCAAAAACTAAGCAACCATGTCTGATCCTGCAGATCCCGGTAATGAAGATACTTACTGCCAAGAATTTCTGTAACCGCCTCTCGAGTCACTAGTTTCTGTTTCCAAATATACAACAAATGCTGCGAAGAAGACCAAGTGCTGCAACCCAAACCTCCAGTGCTCATGAAATCTGCAAGAAAATAAACACACTTAACCTCCAAGGCTACGGACATTCAGAGAGACGGGCTTAATGCAGCCATGTTCAACAGTGTAGAAATAAGATCACGTTTCTAATAAAATCTTATGCAAACTCCCAATATATAAAGAGCAATATGACATTTACTATAAATTTTACAAGTTCAAATTTATAACAATTATTTAAGTTTAATCAGTGAGCAATACGGTCTAATTTTGATGAATATGAAAATTTACACCAGGTGCGGTTGCCCATGCCTGTAATCCCAGCACTTTGGGAAGCCAAGGCAGCAGGTGGATCACCTGAGGTCTGGAGTTCAAGACCAGCCTGGCCAACATGGCAAAACCCCATCTCTACAAAAATAACAAAATTAGCCAGGCGTGGTAGCGCACACCCATATTCCCAGCTACTCAGGAGGCTGAGGTGGGGGAAATCGCTTGAACCTGGGACACGGAGGTTGCAGGACCCAAGATCACATCACTGCACTCCTGCCTGGGCGACAGAGTGAAACTCCACGTGAAAAAACAAAAAGAAAATTTACAACTGATGATTAGAGATGACAAGAGCAATCGTGCTATCCAAGTTTAATCAGGAAGAACAGTGATACTGCTCTGAGAAGTATAAAAATTTGCAACTGACGATTGAAGACAACTGCAGCCTCAACTTATTCCTACATTTTGATTTGAGTGCAGGATACCAACAAAATTCTGATTCACAAAATTACCATTTGCAATCACTAAATAAATGGACTTAAAGTGATAGAATACTGGGCTAGAAGCCTGAAAAAAGAAAAGGACATTTTACAACCTGTGGAGAGTTACACTGTGCCTCCTGATTTTCAAATGTGGGAATAAATTCAAAAAAAGTCTCAACGCAATGCAGGTCACATAAACCCTTCTCAAGGCCAAATCTAGCCAGAAGGCAGCCTGTGTGTGACCTCCAGATATGCTCTCTAAAGACCCGCCAGTTCTACTGTCCTACCTCTCTCTGTGCTTCAGTTATGACGACAGCAGTCCCTGACCCTTTCAGCACCAGGGACTGGTTTCACAGAAGGCAATTTTTCCACACAAGGTGGGGCAGACGAATGGGGTTTCAGGATGAAATTGTTCCACTTCAGATCATCAGGCATCAAGATTCTCATAAGAAGCATGCAACCTAGATCGCTGGCATGCAGTCAGCATTAGGGTTCTCACTACTATAAGAATCGAACGCTGCCACCAATCTGACAGGTGGTGGAGCTCAGACAGTAACGGGGAGAAATGAGGAGCAGCTGTAAATACGGATGAAGCTTCACTCGCTCACCCACCACTCACCTCCTTCTGTGCACCCCAGCTCCTAAGAGGCCACAGACCAGTACCAGGCCACAGCCTGAGAGCTGGGAACCCCTGCCATACAGCAAGGATCGACAAATTTTTTCTGTAAAAAGCCAAGTAGTAATTATACTAAGCTTTGTGGTCCACTTTCACTGTTACATCTTCTTATCTGGGAGTTTTCTTTTTCTAACAACTCTTGAAAAAATAAAAGCAGTTCTTAGCTCCCACAGGCAGCAGCCACTAGTGGCTTGTCAACCTCTGCGTTAAAGAGTATTCTCGTGAGGTTATACTATCCACCCCTGAAAATACTCATCCTATTTACTGTTGATACATATGTCTTAAAATAACATCTTTTTTCTGTAAGAAAATTAAAATAAGGAGAAATTCTTGAGTCAGATGCAGTTTTTCCCAGTTTAACACCTATGAAACCAGGACACATTTCACAATCCTGGTTTCACAGTTTTTTTTTTTGAGATGGAGTCTCACTCTGTTGCCCAGGCTGGAGTGCAATGACGCAACCTCAGCTCACTGCAACCTCCGCTTCCCTGGTTTGAGCGATTTTCCTACCTTAGCCTCCCAAGTGGCTGGGACTACAGGCGTGAGCCACCACACCCAGAAAATTTTTGTATTTTTAGTCGAGACAGGGTTTCGCCATGCTGGCCAGGCAGGTCTCCAATGCGTGACTTCAGGTTCTGCCCCCCTCTTGGCCTCCCAAAGTGCTGGGATTACAGGTGTGAGCCACCTCGCCTGGCTCATGTTTCATGATTATGACTGGCAACATTTTCCTTCCCTACATAAAATAATGGTGTATCTTAAAATTAACACTGCTGTAGATTCAACAAGAAGATGTCACATAAAATATTAGCTATATATGTCACTTGGCAGTGAAATTCAAGCTTCAAAGGAAAACTTGACTCTATTTACATATACTGCTACCTAATCTTATTACCTCAATAACTATAGTTCATCCAATTTTTTTTTTCTTAAAGACGGGGTTTCACCATGTTGGTCAGGGTGGTCTTGAGCTCCTGACCTCAAGTGATTCGCTCACCTTGACCTCCAAAGTGCTTGGATTACAAGCGTGAGCCACAGCGCCCAGCCTAGTTCATCCAAATTCACAAGAAACTTAAATACAGCAAAAAGATATTCTTTTGACCTTCATACCAAATTTTTTTTCATTAGAATGTCTACCTAGTTGTAAGCAATCACTTGGTACATATAATTTTTGTCATTTTTTTTTACTTAACATTATAAAATGCTATTTTTCTTACAAACCTGCAATACTGTTCAGCAGGAAACTTGGTCTTCAAAGATGTTAGATGTGCTTTTACTGTACCAAAATGTTCTCGAGCTTTCAAACACCTCTTTGGAACTAATCACAAAAGATAACCAAATGTAATCATGAAAAACTTACCAAATTTCAAATGCAGTTCTCACTTAATAATCTAAGTGATCAGGCCGGGCGCGGTGGCTCAAGCCTGTAATCCCAGCACTTTGGGAGGCCGAGGCGGGTGGATCACAAGGTCAAGAGATCGAGACCATCCTGGTCAACATGGTGAAACCCCGTCTCTACTAAAAATACAAAACATTAGCTGGGCATGGTGGTGCGTGCCTGTAATCCCAGCTACTCAGGAGGCTGAGGCAGGAGAATTGCTTGAACCCAGGAGGCGGAGGTTGCGGTGAGCCGAGATCGCGCCATTGCACTCCAGCCTGGGTAACAAGAGTGAAACTCTGTCTGAAAAAAAATAAAATAAAAAAAAAAATAATAATCTAAGTGATCTATCTGGAAATGAATCAACTTTTTTTTAACCTCACGACTAATGTACACATCTCTGCTTTTCAACCTGGCTCTCAAAATACCATCCCTAGTTTCCCTACTAACTAGCTATACTGAAAAATAAACAACTTGTTAAAAGGGAATATATCAGGAGACACATTGGTAATTGGCTACGTTGTCATAAATAACATCATCCTTTAGGGGCTCCACACCAGCCACTGTTCCTGTTCACTCCTGAGAGAATGCTTAACATCAGATTGCTCCTTCTTCCCGTATGTGACAGAAAAAAGCCTTTACCAACTATTCACAATCAAGATGACCAACTCTGTATCATTAAGAAAAATGACTTGCCTCGGGCATGTGTCAATGCATTGTTATATCATTCTTGTATCTGAAAATATACCTCAGCTCTTTTAGCTGTGCTGGCTATGCCTTACAAGGAAGATTCCATGTCTAAACTTGACATATGTGACTTTCATTCACAAGGCTGACTGTAAACACATTGAGAACACTTTATACTGTTAATCTCATATTAAAAGGTATTTAATGCAAATCAACAGGTAGTTGGGAAAAAAAGGTATTCAATCACTGAAAGGCTGGATACACACACACACACACACACACACACACACACACACACGGGCCAAATAGAAGTCACTAGATAACAGAAAGGAATTATAAACCATTTTTCTGCTTACCTTGAGAAGACTGTGCTGGCAGAAAGCTGCACTTTTTTTTTCTGAACAAGAAATGGGTTAACTTATTCTAATTATCATCAGTAGGATGCTATCACAACAGAGAAAACATCTCTATTTAAACCATACTTTGTGGAAGTGGAAAAATCAAAATTACCAAATCACCTACTTCTTCCATTTGTATTCGCCATAAAGCATGATGGACATTTTTCATTATAAAATGTTGTCTAGATACAAACTAACTCTCTACATAAGAGATACTTAGATACAAAACAAAGAACTTACTGTCCTGAAATACAGCACCCTGATGGACCCCTTGCAGTAGAGTCAAAAATCTCTCGAGCTGTTTGTTCTAAACTCTGTACAACTTTTCGGATTTCCTAGAGAGAAGTAAAAATAAAAATCAGATACTCAACATAATTACTGTCAAACACTCCCATCAAACACATTAGATAGTTTATGTGATCTATCATAACCAAGTTGGCATCCTGACTTTTCCATTTATTTCCTGTGTAAGACTTCAAAAAGTCACTAAAAGCCTTAGATTCCTCAGGTAGCCTTTAAAGGATAACAGCCACCCATTCACCCCAAGTATCCAACTGGGACATTATCAAATGGATGATGTCTGTCAACATAATTTGTAAAACGAAGAGTTAAATGCAATATAAGAATTGGGCATTTCTAATTTTTTTTTTTCTTTTCTTTTTTTTTTTTTGAGACAAAGTCTTGCTCTGTTGCCCAGGCTGGAGTGCAGTGGTGCGATCTAAGATCACCGCAACCTCCGCCTCCTGGGTTCAAGCGATTCTCCTGCCTCAGCTTCCACAGTAGCTGGGATTACAGGTGTGCGTCACCACGCCCAATTAATTTTGTTTTCTATTTTTAGTAGACATAGGGTTTCACCATGTTGCCCAGGCTGGTCTCGAACTCCTGACCTCAGGTGACCTGCCAGCCTCGGCCTCCCAAAGTGCTGGGATTACAGGCATGAGGCACCGCGCCTGGACTTCATTTTCAAAATATTCACTTAGCACACTTATATGCGAGGCACTGTGTAAATACTTGGGGAACAAAGCATACAATTCCTACTTATTTTGGCCTTTTTTTTTATTTAAATATATATATATATATGGCCAGAGATCTCTGATGTCTCTTTCTTTTCTTTTTTTTTTTTTTTCCTTGAGATGGGGTCTCACTCCGTCACCCAGGCTGGAGTGCAGTGGCACGATCTTGGCTCACTGCAACCTCCTGGGCTCAAGTGATTCTCCTGCGTCAGCCTCCTGAGTAGCTGGGACTACAGGCACATGCCGCCACACCTGGCTAATTTTTATATTTTTAGTAGAGACAGGGTTTCACCACGTTGGCCAGGATGGTCTTGAACTTCTGACATCAGGCGATCTGCCTGCCTCGGCCTCCCAAAGTGCTGAAATTACAGGCATGAACCACTGTGCTCGGCCTCTGCTGTCTCTTTCCCGTTTTACAAGGACTCCAGTCTTATTAGATTAGGGCACCACTCTAATGACCTCATTTAAGCCTCATTACTTCCTTAAAGACCCTATCTTCAAATACAGTCACATTAGGGGGTTGGGATGTCAACATATGAATTTGGGGAAGATATAATTTAGTCCATGAAAAGAGGAGAGGCAAAATCGCATTTCAAAAAGGCATGCAGGAGGGGAGGGATTACTTGGGCCATTTTTTCGACATAACCTGCCATCCTTCTTGACCACTAAAATCATTTTCATCCTTGACAATGTTCCCCTCTCAATTTCTCTTTACTCCATGCTCTTGTGGCTCTGAGGGTGAGCTCCCTATTTCACAAGACCACATCCTGCTTGGCATTTGGTTTAGGTTCCAACCTCAGGGCAATGGGCCATGTCTTGTTTTTTACGTTTTCACGCAGTGCCTTGCACAGAGAAGTCCATAATAAATATCTGTAGAATAAAAAATAATAATAATGTCCGGGCGCAGTGGCTCATGCCTGTAATCCTAGCACATTGGGAGGCCGAGGTGGGTGGATCACCTGAGGTCAGGAGTTCAAGACCAGCCTGGCCATCATGGTGAAACCCCATCTTTAAAAAAATAAAATAAATTAAAAAAAAAAAAAAAAAAAAAAAGGAAAAGAACGGCAACGACGCAAATTCCAGTAAAGGCAAACAGGCAGAAAGCTAACTGGGGCACTAGAAGGAGCCAAAGTGAACATCATACATAGGGAGGGCGTAAAATGAGATTGAAGAGAGACCATGTGGGCCACAGTAGAGTCTGATTTTTTATCCTAGGCGGGATAGGAAACCACAGGGGAGTTCTAAATAGAAGATTACAGGTGCTTTTAAGACACGAACAACAAATACATGAAACGCGTATTCGCTGAAGGCCAGGTGCAATTCGAGCCTTCCATATAGACAAGCGCTGAAAACAAGGAAAACTGACACAAACGAGGCAGTTATGGTGAGAAGCTGAGACCCGGACACGGAGAATCAGGACAGAGCGGTAGAATTAAGGGCGGGGAGTGCCCTAACCTAAAACTAGAGGGGAAGCAACCCACCCTCGGAGGCGTCCCCATAGCCCCAAACTCAGCGCCAGAGGAGGGCCGGGCGACGTCGCCCAGCTAGGCATGGAGAGGGAAACGGAATGGGGAAGGGAGGGAGCTCACCTCTCGGATGTCCTGCTCGGCAGCCAAAAAGCCCTGCAGCTTCACGAAGATCTCGCTCACAGACATGGCGCGGGCTGCACAACAATCTTCCAGTGTGGCAAGGGCGGCCAGGGAAGCGGACTCCGGAAACAACCAGCGCAATCAACCGCAACAACTGCCGCAGCCGCCGCTATCGCCGCGTACACTCGGTCTTACGCCACGGCCGTCGCCGGGGTCCTCCGAGGCCCGCGGCGCGCCGGAAGACTGGCTGCCCGTCGCACTGCCTGACGCGCCGCTAGCTGCGTTGGGAATGGAGGCGAGCATCCAGAAGGCAGAGCAGGGGGAGAGTGGGCGGGGCTTCAGTCTGAGGCCTTGGGACAGGCATCCTCAGAAACAACCTGCGAAGGGGGCCCTCGGAGTACGTGGGCCTGAGGGAAGGCGGGGATGGTCTTGGAGGTGGCGCGACCAAGCGGAGCTGTTTAGCTTATGTGTATATATTTATTTCATATACAACATCAGATGGGGGCAAATATTTCACAACGAAAGCGTATGCACAAAAAAACAAGTGCAGAAGAATGTAGAGAAATTGCAGTCTTCGCGAGAAAGTAGGGGGAGAGTGCGTTTATATTTCCAAACAAAGGAAAATGAAAGTAACATACATAGGACTGTGAGTAGGGAATGTATTGGGAACGAAAATTTTCTGTTAAAATTTTTCCTGTTAAAATTTTATTTTAATGTTTTCTCTATGTGGTTGTATTTTCTATTTTCAAATAAAACGGATTTTTCAAGCGCGTGTGATGGGATGTTTCTCTTTCCACTCAGGTCTTGCCCTAATTCCCCTTCCATGCACTACAACGGTTTCCTCCTTGTTCTTGAAGAGTTCCATACACAAATGCTGTGTGTGTGTGTGTGTGTGTGTGTGTGTGTGTGTGTGTGTGTGTGTAGGTTCTTGAACAGTTATTCCGTAGACAAATACAATGTGTGTGTGTGTGCGCGCGCGCGAGTGTGTGATCTTATCGTTTAGTTGATAAGAATCATTCGAATCCATGCAATTGGAATGATTCTTATCAACTAAATGATAATTTATTGCTTGGTTTGTACCTAACGTTATTCTAAACTCTTTACATGAAGGATCATTATATGAGAAGAATTTCATGGCCATGAAGAAAACGGTAAGACCAATGGCACCTACTTTTTTTTTTTTTATGAGGAGACCAAGCCGGCAGGACGCCGGCGCGGGCTCCCCTGCACCTACATTTTTTAAAAATTATCAAAACCGCAGCCGGGCGCGGTGGCTCACACCTGTAATCCAGCACTTTGTGAGGCCAAGGCGGGCGGTTCACGAGGTAAGGCGATCGAGACCGTCCTGGCCAACATGGTGAAATCCCCGCTCTACTGAAATACAAAAAGATTAGCTAGGCGTGGTGGCGCCTGCCAGTAGTCCCAGCTACTCAAGAGGCTGAGGCAGGGGAATCCCTTGAACCCGGGAGGAGCAGCTTGCAGTGAGCCGAGATCCGTGCCACTGCACGCCATCCTGGAGGACAGAGCAAGACTCCGAATCAAAAAAAAAAAAAAAATTATCAAAACCTTTCTTATCTCCTGAAAACCCATTTGTCTTTCCTAAAGTATCCTCATGTTCTCATGCAGACTTTTGTCCTCTCTGCCTTTTACCTACTGAGTTAGGCACATAAGCCACTAACTGATTTGTTTTTTGTGTTTTTTTTCTTTTTCTTTTTCTTTTTCTTTTTGGTAGAGACAAAAGTCTTACTATGTTGCTCAGGCTGGTCTTGAACTTCTGAGCTCAGGCAGTTCTCCCGCCTCAGCCTTTCAAAATGGTGGGATTACAACTATAAATCACTGCGCCCAGACATAAACCTCCAATTTTAACCGTTTAGCAGGCTCGCTACTTCTTTTGGTAGCTCCAGCGTACATGCAAATAAACCTTTTTGGGCAGTGTCCTATAAAAAGTTTAACTAGACCCTATCAGTTGATGGTGGTGTTGAGTTCTTATGTGCTTATGCTGATTTTCTGTTGTGCCTTTTGTCGGTTTAATTTACAGGCCTTGGCTGGGCATGGCTCACACCTGTAATCCCACCACTTTGAGAAGCTAAGGTAGAAGGATCACTTGAGCCCAAGAGTTCGAGACCAGCCTGAGCAGCCCAGACTGTCATCTCTACAAAAAATTTTTTGAAAATTGGCTGAACATAATAGCACATGTCTGTGGTCCCAGCTACTTCGGAGGCTGAGGTGGGAGGACCGCTTGAGCTCAGGAAGCCACGGATGCAGTGAGCTGTGATCGTGCCACTGCACTCAAGCCTGAGTGACAGAGTGAGATCCCGCCTCAAAAAAAAATTTTTTTTGGAGGCCCCATAAACTGATCAAAATATAATAAAGAGAAAGCTTTTTCTCCCCAATACTAGCTTCATAAAGAACTGGAAAGTGTTCCCTTCTGTTCCGTTATCTCGAAGAGATTATGCAGAATTGTTCTTTATTCCTTAAATAGCTGGTAGAATTCTCCAGTGAAAGCTTCTCCAATGAAAGTTTCTTTGGAGATTTCTTTTTGGAAATTTTATTGCAAATTCAGTTTCCTAATAGTCATAGTGGTACTCAAAGTATCCTTTTCTTTAAGAGGTGGAGTCTCGGGCCAAAGCAATGGCTCAAGCCTGTAACCCCAGCACTGTGGGAGGCCAAGGCAGGCAGATCACGAGGTCAAGAGACGGAGACCATCCTGACCAACATGGCGAAACCCTGTCTCTACTAAAAATACAAAAATTAGCTGGGCGTGGTGGTGCACACCTGTAGTCCCAGCTACTCAAGAGGCTGAGACAGGAGAATCGTTTGAACGCAGGAGGCGGAAGTTACAGTGAGCTGAGATTGTGCCACTGCACTCCAGGATGGTGACAGAGTGAGACTCCGTTTCAGAAAAAAAAGAGAGAGAGAGATACGGTCTTGCTCTATCAGCAGGTGATTCTTCTGCCTCAGCCTCCCCAGTAGCTGGGACTATAGGCACATGCCAACACACCTGGCTAATTTTGGGGTTTTTGGTAGAGATGGGGACTGGCTATGTTGCCCAGGCTACAAAGTATCTATTTAATATTGTGTGAACTATGGTAACTTGTGTTTTTTAAAAGAATTCGTTCACCTAGGTCTAAGCCAAATGGACTTGAATAGAGTTGCTTATAGTATTTCCTTATATTCTTTTGTTGTCTTCAGGCTCTATAGTGCCGCCCTATATTTCATTCCTGATAGGAAAAATTTATTCATTTCTCTTTGTTTTTCTTTGTCAGTTAATCTTGCTGGAAGTTTATCCATTTTATTGATAATAACTTGTTCTCTGTTTATTTATTTATTTATTTATTTATTTATTTTGACGTGGAGTCTCACTCCATTGCCCAGGCTGGGAGTGCAGTGATGTGATCTCGGTTCACTGCAACCTCCACCTCCTGGATTCGAGGGATTCTGCTGCCTCCGCCTCCTCAGTGGCTGGGATTATAGGCACGCAACGCTGCGCCAGCTGATTTTTGTATTTTTAGTAAAGATGGGGTTTCACCATATTGCCCAGGCTGGTCTTCAGCTCCTGACCTCAGGTGACACACCCTCCTCGGCCTCCCAAAGTGCGGGGATTACAGGTGTCAGCCACCGCACTCAGCCTCTATTCTGTTTCCATTTTATCAATTTCTGCTCATTATTTTCTTCTTTCTGCTTGTTTTGGTTTTATTTAGCTCATCTAGGTTCTTGAGGTGGAACTTAGATTATTAAGTCTCACATTTTTCTAATGGATGCATTTTAGTATTGTCACTTGCCCTCTGGGCACTGCTGTTAGCTGTGTACCACAAATTTTTGGTATGTTGTATTTTTATTTTTATTTAGTTCAATTGTTTTTTTAAATTTCTCTTGTGACTTCCTCTCTAATAGATTATCTGTAAGTATATGGTTTAATTTTCAAGTGTTTGGAGATTTTTCTGTTATTGTGTTATTGATTTCTAGTTTGAGCCTATTATAGTCAGAGAACAAGCTATGATTGAATTCTCTTAAATGTGTTAAGATTTGGTTTAAATAGTTTAGAATAGGGTCTCTCTTAGTATTTATTCCATGGGCATCTGAAAGGATCTGTTGTTGGGTGCAGCATCAATTAGGGTATTTTAGCTGATGGTGGTGTTAAGTTCTTCTATGCCCTGCTGATTTGTCTAGATGTTCTGTTAATTTTTAAAGAAATTTTTACAGAACCAGTCATTTCACCTGTGAACAAATAGTTTTATCTCTTCTTTCCCCATCTGTATACTTCCTATTTCCTTTTCCTGTCTGAATGCATTGTATAGGACTTCTGGTAAGATATTGGATAGGAATAGAAAGAGGGGACGTCCTTGCCTTCTTCCCAACCTTAGAGGTAAGGTGTCGAGTTTCTCACCCTTAACTGTGACGTTAACTATAGGATTTTGTTGTTTGTTTGCTTGTTTGTTTTTAGAGAAAGGGTTATATTTTGTCACCCAAGCTGAAGTACAGTGGTATGATCATAGCTGACTGCAGCCTTGAACCCCTGAGCTCAAGTGATCCTCCTGCCTCTGCCTCCAGAGTAGCTGGGACTACAGGTGTGCACCACCATGATTTGATAAATTTGTTTAAATTTTTTTCGTAGACATGAGGTCTGGTCATGTTGCTGAGGCTGGGCTTGAACTCTTATCCTCAAGGGATCCTCCTGCCTAGGCCTCCCAAAGTGCTGGGATTATAGGCATAAGCCACTGAGCCTGGCCTTTGTTTTGGTTTTAGTTTTTTAAGAGACGTCTTGCTCTGTCACCCAAGCTGGCGTGCAAAGACATGATCACAGCTCATTGCAGCCCTAACCCACTGGGCTCAAGCAATCTTCCCACCTCAGCCTCCCAAGTAGCTGGGACTATGGGTGTGTGTCATCCTGCCTAGCTAAATTTATTTTATTTTTTGTAGATATGGGGTCTCACTGTGTTATCCAGTCTTGTCCTGAACTCCTAGGCTCAAGCAATTCTCCTGCCTTGGCCTCCCAAAGTGGTGGGATTATAGGCATGAGCTACGGCATCTGGCCTTATTCTATCAATTGTTAATAGAAGGATCTCTAACTGTAATTATGGATTTCTTTATTTCCCCTCGCAGTTCTATGAGTTTTTGTTTCACAAATTTGCAACTCTGTTTCTTGCTGCACGCACATTTAGGATTACTGTGACTTCTTAGTGTGT